TCATCATTTTCTTCCAAATTCCATTTCCACTATAGTGTATCTGGAAGACAAACTACGAGGTCCTCCCACCCATCGTTCTTTATGTTTTTCACTTAGCAGCTTGGCTCCCGAATAGTGGGAGCAAGAAGAATGGGCGTCTGTGGTTACAGTGATCTTTCATTGTGTTGCCTCTAGAGTCCTTGTGTTTTTCCTTAGCTACCATTTTTTGAGTTTAGTGGCACTGAGATTTTTCTATTGATCAATATTTATCCTGGACCTTCGCTATTTTTGTCCAGTTCGTTATTCAAGTAAGTATTCTGTAAGCCAGTTTATTGATTTGCTAGTTAATTTACAAGGTGAAGAGAGATTTTTCATCCCCAAATGATTCTAGCAGTTAAGCCTGGACCAGGATGGCAGTGACCCAAGTCCTTGGACCATCATCTACATTAGACATTAGCAGGAAATTGCATTGCAACGAGCAGTCGGAACTCTTAACCGGCACTCTGATACAGATTGCAAGCATCCTAACGGACAGCTCCACGTGCTGCGCCACAACCCAGGCCCCTATTCTTTTTATTTTTTATTTTTTTTTAAGATTTATTTTTATTATTTTCTCATTGGAATGGCGGATATACAGAGAGGAGAGACAGAGAGGAAGATCTTCCCTCCGATGATTCACTCCCCAAGTGAGCGCAACGGTCAATGCTATGCCGATCCGAAGCCAGGAGCCTCTTCTGGGTCTCCCACGCGGGTGCAGGGTCCCAAAGCTTTGGGCCGTCCTCTGCTGCTTTCCTGGGCCACAGGCAGGGAGCTGGAAGGGAAGCGGGGCTGGTGGGATTAGAACCGGCGCCCATATGGGATCCCGGGCGTGCAAGGTGAGGACCTTAACCACTTGCGCCACCGCGCCGGCCAGGCCCCTATTCTTGTATCTTAGCATACATACAGCTTGAGCTTATGCCCTTAATCTCCCTAGCTGATTCTTACACTCACAAAATGTGGGGTCAGTGATGTGTAGGTTCTTGTGCCCAACAATGCCCTATTTTCTCCTTCTAAGTTATTCATGTCTTCTCTGGAACTCAGCAGGGTTCTATCTGCCAAGAAGACTATGATCTTCCCTTTGGCCACATTTGAATGGATGAAGAAAGTGCACAAGTATCTACTCTTTATCTCTGTGTGAGTGCTGTATTCACTGAACCAGTTACCAGATTTTTCCAGAGCTTCATTCCACACTGCATTTTACCATAATTGCTGATAGAGGGGGTATTTATAAAGTCTCTTTTTGTACTGTCATTTCATGGCAACCTTAAGTCAGCCTTAAAGGTAGCCAGTTACTCATTTCTAAATAACAAAAGTTCAGTGAATATTTCCAAATGCTTGACTCATTTATTTGAAACCTGGAATCTCATGATATGGGAAGATTACACAAATAAAAAGAAAATAAAAAAAGATAGCAAGAAATTGAAGTCCAGGAGCCAGTTGGCTGTTTTGTGTCTATATACAATGCTATCTCCCCTGAACAAAGGATTACAGAACAGCAAAATGACGTGAAAGGATCTCCCTCTTCAGTTCTATCCCAGAGACAACAAGCAAAGCGTATGTGAACAGCTGAACACACAGAGTTAGGAGGCAAATGTATGCGGTACCTCATAGTAAACCCAAAAAACAAAGGACAGTAAGTAAATGTTCCCACTAATTCCTAAGATGAAAAGCTAGGTTATAAAAGCCAATGAAAACCCAATCCTAGGTCAAATGGATCCCGAGTAGCAGGCAGTTTTTGAAAAGTATCTGCACATGGAATTATAGATTTACTTTGGTACAAAAGCAGAGATTCAAACACTGATTTAAAAAAAAAAACTCAATTTCCATGAACTTTTTGAAGGCTGTTTGGGGTGTGGATTTAAAATTCTTTTTCTCCTAAATAAGCTCATTTTTAAATTTCATTTTCTAAGAACTTTTTAAGAAAGATTTATTAATTTATTTGAGAGAGTTACACAGAGAGATAGATGAGGAGACATCTTCTATACCCTAATTTACTCCCCAAACAGACACAACTGCCAGAACTGCCCCGGGTTAGGAGCCAGGAGCTTCATCAGGATCTCCCACATCGGTGTAGGAACCCAAACACTTGGGCCATCTGCTGTTGCCATTCCCAGTAGGGAGCTGGATCAAAACTGGAGCAGACAGGACATGAACTATTCTTGTTTATATGTAATATCAGCATTGCAAGTGGCAGTTTTACCTACTATACAACAACACTCCTGTAAGAACTTTCCAAAACACCTTCATAAAACCCGGGAGATGTACTTTAGACTGGCTGAGTAGATGGGAATTTAATAGATACACATATTTGTGTGACTGATTTTTCCTAGGTTTTTGACATTGTGATCAATTAAAGAACGGTCCGATGAAAGATTTCTTTCTCACTTCCCTGTCTCTCCCTACACACACCGCTGTGACTCTTTCAATAAATAACAAATTTGTGTGTGTGTGTGTGTGTGTGTGTGTGTGTGTGTGTGTGTGTGTGTGTCTGTACACATTACCTCTTCCTTTTGGCCATCATTGTCACAGTTATGGAATTTCCACTTCGTGCCCACACTCTTCTTCACTTGTCTTCGGTCACAACCCCTTACTCCTAAGGTTTCATTCTAATTCATTCTTCAGTTGGCTGAAGTTGGTGGGTTTTGCACAAATGAATTTTAATAGTAGTCACCCATCAGCTTTGGGCTGTCTTTATGCTTTCCTTTACCCTTAAGTGGGAATAATCAGAGCCTTACTCTGCATCTTCCCTCCTTCACAGCTCCTTTGTAGCCTACTTAATGAGTGTAGTGGTTGCTTGACTTCTTTCTGACCTTGAAGAACTCATCAGTGTGTCTGTTGCTTGCCTTAAACTTTCTATCCTGGGGGACAGATCATACTAGACACTTGCCCTTCCAGGTGTGCTTACCTTTACTTCTGAGATCAAAGGACCACTGCTCAGCATAGGTTGATTTCCATTCAAGCCTCAGGAAGCACTATCCGAAGACACTGACCATGAAGAAGAGTCCATGAGAGAAGCACTTCCCCTGGCCATGAAACCAAAGGGTTTGAACATAGACTTGGAAAAATTACAAGTGCCAAATACTTATAATTCACATACACAATGAACCAGACTGCAAGGCATAGAAAAGTTTGCTTACAGTGACAACATATGTCAAAGCCAGATACATTTTATTTATAAATAACACTTAGATTCAGACACTGATAAGAGGTTCTGAGGATTCCCAGTTCATTGGCACAGATACACAGCACAACAAAGATAACACATTGGCAGGTTTCTGGTTACAGCCAGACATAGTGCCAGATCACCTGCAAACTATAAGCATTGGGTTTATTTTTTTTTTAATTTATGGGCATTCCTGAACCATTTGCTTGAATATCTTCATTCCCCCTAACCAAGCTTGCAATTATATTTGCCAGTTAAAAGACTTCAAATCAACTGATACTATTCTTCAGTTTGCAAGAGCTCCACTATATTATTAATGGATAAACAATATTTAACTCTCAACCCCTTCTGCTTCTTTCTTCATCCCTTCTCTTATAAAATTTATCCCACCCGTCATGGTGGAAACAGTCAAACGGGGTTGATAAGAGATTCTTTTCATCCATCTATTGTCCTTCATGTCTGCTGAGAAGTATTATAGATTCCTACTTTAGAAGTCTATTTTTCATATCAGTTACATTTTGTAATATTGTGCTTGTTAAAAAAAAAACTATCAAGTTGACACTGATATTCTAAAGCCAAAGTTCTTAACAAATAGTTCTTAACATACTGAGAAGCCCAGGAAATAGGATTCTAATGACTCACGACAGATGTACAATATACCTACACGGAGATGGGACAGGAAGTCAGCCTGCCACAATAGAGACAACAAGTATTATTTCTGATATGTACGATATTCAAAGATCTGCTTTATAGAGGAGAAAAGTTACAATGTACAAGGTACCAGTGTATATGCATAACCTGCTGATGATTCAGCATTTATAAGGCCCCAGAGCTCCCTCTGAGGATGCTACACCTCCAAATCACACCCTATAAATATATAATTCATGACACACAGTCATTTAGGAAAGCGGTGGTCCTAGTGGTTCCTTGCAAGGCTGGTGAAGAACTGAATCATTGGCAGGTCATGCACGGCCGGTCTGTCCCACTTTATGTAATTCTGGGGGTGGGAAAAGAAATCTGTGATATTCCTAATGGAATTGGGATTAAAGGACTGAGTTCCTTAAAAGCCTAAACTCCTCTGCTTTTAAAATTAACATCAATATGTACCTCGCTAAGATCCTGAAGGACTCAGCCTTACAATTTGCCTTTGCTAAATTGATTTTGGACCTGAACCTACACCATAAAATCCTTCAACTGTGTATTTGAAAGGGACTAAACCATCCACCCCTCACTTTTACAACTATATTTTTAAAAATAGTATAAAGAACACAACACCATATTTAACATGTTAGAAATTAAAAAAAAAAGACTTCTGGTTAAATTCACAGAAAGAAGATATAAAAAGCAGAGGTAAATTTTAAAAACACTTAGAATCCCCAAACAAAGGTAGGGTGAGAAAAAGAAAAGAAAGAGGAGAGAGACAGAAGGCAGGAAGGCAGGAAGGCAGGAAGGCAGGGGGAGAGGCGAGGCGAGGAATGAGAGGAGAGGAGAGGAGAGGAGAGGAGAGGAGAGGAGAGGAGAGGAGATAGGAGAGAGAAGAGAAAAAAGATTGCTTTGACATTAATTGTGCTGCAAACTACTTCTGCAACAACAGGGTCGTGTTTGGCCCCGTGGGTTTCAGAGGCACTGCATAAATACGATCCGAATCAGCTAACACACTTTTTCAAATCTGCTTCTCAGCCAAGGGCAAGTGTGAATTCGTTCTACTGCTAGGTGTCGGTGACACTTTGGTTTGCTTTATTGGCAACGATTTGACGACGTGTCCTATGCTAAAGGAAGGCTGGAAACCAAGCGTGTGCCCAAAGCCAGAGCTGCTGTGTTACTTCTTCTCATGCTTCTTGGTTAACTCCCCCATGCCCAGCTGGCAGCGACTCCGGCTGTCGCTGCTGCTGGTTTCCACCCGTTGGCTCTCCTGGGAGACTTGCCGCACAGCCTGTAGGATGGCATTCTGCACAATCTGTCTGCTGGCATTCTGCAGCTTCACTTCTTCAGGCTCATTTCCAGGTTTCTCACCTAGCCGAGAACATGAAAGGCAGGTGAGAAGAAGAGAAGAGAATTCCAGAAACCATGACATAGAGGGATAAGAGAGAAAGGTGGGAGGAAGCAGAAGATGGTAGGAGCATGCTGGAGTGTCCAGTGAACTGCGCGGGACCTTCTGGAGCACAGCAGCTCTCGTCTCCCTTTCTCCTTTCCAACACAATCTCCGTTTGGCCCGCGCAATGCATGCACCTTTCATCCTCCACCACCCTCAACTGCTTGCTGGAGATGGTCTGGAGACAGCTCTGGTCCATTTTGCGTCTCAGAACACTCTGTGAAAGAGACTGCTCCCGCATTGGGGCTGCTTTCTGTTTCCCCTCTTGCACATGGAAAGCAGACACAGTACCCCGGGCACTGCAGCCTTCTCCCAGGAAGCACAGAGCACAACGCCCACATTCTAGACGTGTCTGGGGAGAAAGAGCCCAGCTCTGAGGACACCAGCAGCCCTGCATCATGAGCTCTTTTGCAAGTTGTGAAAACAAATCCCTTTCCTTTTGTCTCATCCATAAAGCGGTTATCAGCAGCCAAGCATATACCATGTGGCTTAAAATGTTTGTGGATAAAAGGAATTAAAGATAAGCTTACTTGGGTGTAAATACCTTTTAAGAGGAGCCTTGGATCCCAGGGCTCAATAATTCACTATGTTAGCCCTCAGATGGCCATCCCCAGGTCCTACCCATGATGGGGGGGGGGGAATTATATATATATATATACACATATATACATATATATCCATGCATGTATATATTAATATATAATATCTGGGAAATTTACATAACACACATATATATGCATATGTATGTATACATTATCTATAAAATAGCTGTGTATGTATAATTTGTTTAAGGTTAATGAAATTTTGACTTTCTTCTAAGTTTCTTACTTATTTATAGTAAGTGAACAAATTCACATATTTCACAATATTGATTCAGGAGCCTCGTGATACGTCCCTGTCTCCCTTCCCTACTGCCTGCCTCCCCACCTTTATTTGAAACAAGCTTAACACTAACTCATCTATGGCAGAACACTCAGCATTCCAACATTTGACTGCAATCTTGAACATTTTAAATTCCACCCACGTAAATTATAGTGATATATATCTGTAGTGATAAATAGAATTGGCATCAATCCTTATTCAATATGATATTTTCATTCGCTTTTCTCCATTCAAATTTACTACCAGTAGGAACATGTGTTTGGAACAAATGAGAGATGCTTTTCACCAGGGATGATAAAATTAACAACAGAATGTATACACTCACGAGAAAACTAGTGCGCGACAGAATTTTGAGTCATTTTGAAAGGTCAGGCAGGTCTTATCTTTTTAAATATGTAATTGGCATTCATTTACCACTTTCATGCACCCTCTGAAGTATTCCCTATCTATTGAACATTGGTAAGCCTGTTTAAAACAAAGAACAGCACAGAGAATAAAAAAGCAAGACAAAATGGGCAACAGATAGCAAACTGAGAGGAAAAATCCAGAACATTAATGCATGACATGACTGAAGTTTTATTTTTTTAAATAAAACACACAGAGGAAGTGAGATCTTCCATCCTCTGATTCACTCCTTGAATGGCTGCACTTATCGTTGATGTCCCTGTTGCATTCACTGGAAGGGTGCAAAGAAATGCACAGCAATCCGACAGGACACGGAGCCAGCCAACAATCCTTGGAGTGTTTCTATTTACCTCCATGCATTTAATTTACTTCAGTGTAATGAATCATCTAGCCATGGTAGGTGGCCTACTGCCTAGTTTCACATGACGCAGACATCCTATAGCCTAAGCCTAGTTCACTATTTACAACACTATTCTTGTATTCCACAAAAGACATGATGAACCAATTTAATTAGCTTTAAAGTCTTTAATGCCCAATATAAATACACTGAAGTCAAACGTGTGATGTAACTAATTTTGTCATCAGCATCTTTCACCTCCACTATCTATTTCCCCGTGCTTCCAAAGGGTCCTTGCTTCCTGGAGGGCCATATGGGAGCCGGTCTTCAACAGCCCATCCCAAGCTTTTCTCCACCACTACTTCCTGCTGCCCCAGGGAGAGGGGAACTACCTGTGATGTGGTTAACACTTGCACCTCGTTCCTCATTGATAGTCAGTATAATTATGCGAAAGAGCCTCCCCATACAAATTTACATCAACCCAGCCCCACAAGACCCTAAGTACCATCTTCTATTCCTTTCCCCAAAAATACACACCTTTTGGAAAAGTAATTGCTCCCATCTAGAGGCAAAATCGGGCAGTAATTTTCTCTGGAACACACAAGGCATGTGGCAGAGATTGCAACCTACACCGAGTCTCTATGGCTCACTTCTTTCCACTGGGTCACTAAATATGAAAATTACACAAGTGCCTTTTCGGGCCCCTGCAGAGCTCAGCTGCCAGTACTCACCCCGCCCCCTCAGACGCAGTGCTGCTGCTGCTGATAACCATCAGGCGTATTTTTATCTTCCCTTCTGATTGCTTAAGACCATAAAGACAGTATCATCATTCATCAATGACGAGCACATGGAACACAGAGTACAAGACCTATTTCTGATCCCTTTAATAACAGGGTGACAGTCTTTTTCCAGCTCTATAGCTACAGGAATTTTCCATGAAGGACCAGATGTTTGGTCCCACTCCTCTGCACTAGTTGCTAGTGAGTTTTCCTGGCCACCATGCTTTGCTATCCAACAAGCTTAGGTGACTTTCCAATAACAAAAAGTCACAACTCCTGAGTTTCTAGTTTGCCACCCCCACCCCCCCACTAAGCCGTGCCATCCCCCTTGCCTCATAACTAAATCAAAAGCAGCATTTTAGGACCTCCACAGAGTGAATCTGAAGCTCAGAGGCAAGTGGATTGGAAATCCAGAGGTGGAAAGCAGGATTGTTGTAAGTCACATGTGAGTGAGGCCCGACCATGCCCACCATCCCTATCAAATCAGGCTCTCACCAGAAAGAAGCACCGCTGACTCTGCCTACGATGCTGTTCCAGAACATGGCGTGCTACTCCCGAACTATGTGCAGGTGTTTGGGAAAGATCAAGATGAAATAAGTCAGAGACAGATTTGAGCAGCAGTCATGTTCATGGACTATGGAGGACAACAGACAACAGAAAATGGGGCCAAAATGTATCATTCATTCACCACGTACAGAGCTTCCCACGGCGGGAATTAGAGATTAGAAAGTGGGGCCAAACAGTCACTGGTACAGCAGAAGAATTGGATGCACATCAAAGAATCAAGCAACCCAATCATTTCTAGCTGCAGCACCAGCTCGAAAGAGAGCAGGAAAGCAAAAGTTCCAGTCTGAGGGTCAGGGAACTGAAGCAATAAGCAGATATTGAGCAGCCAAGGGCAGGGAGTGGGAGCAAAGGGCAGGAGCAAACCAGAGAGGAGGATCAAAGTCCTGTGGAAAGTTCCAGATGCATGTGGCAGCAAGGCCTGAGCATCAGGAGCCTGGTGGAAGAGGGGGACACAGGAGACTGAAGAAGGAGACCAACCAGGGACCAAGGGGACTGCAGACTTCTCTGAGGCTACAGCAGCCACGTAGCCTCTCCTCTGTGCCATGGGACATAACCGAGGAGGAGAGAGAAGTGCAGATGTGGAGGAGGCCTCGAAAGGCAGAGGGAATTTACAAATGCCAAGGGAAAGACACACAGTTCCCCAACTAATAGGACCGCAGGAACTTCCATCTTGTACAGCCGCCAAATTACTTTAGACACTAATAAAACTGAGGCTGAATTAGCAGATTATGGCTCCTTGGAGAAGCCATAATGGTTGGTGCCAATAAAACTCAAAAGGGAAAGGAAATGGCCAGTTTCACCTGGGAAGGACTCACATTGTAATGCTTTGCTTCCACCCGCCCCCACGAAAAAAGGGAGAAGTAACTTTGGGAAAAATTAATGACTAGGAAAGACCCCAATTTCCAGGTTATCCCAGTTACAAAGATCAGAAAATTCCAGAATACTTTATTGATATAGGGATGGAAACGTGGATCAAACAAGCCATATACAATGTCCCACATAGGGACAGTCATTTATAACAAAAGCGAGGCTGCTACTGAGTGGAAATGAATGGCACTTTCAATCAACGGAGATGGGTCACGTAATCACTCATTTAGAAAAACAACGAACTTGAACCTTTAACACTTACACATGCAAAGTAATAGTTTCAGGTAATTTGTTTATATTTGAGAGGTAATGCCACCAAAACACAAAGAGTTAGGGCAGTGAATCTGCCCTGCATGATACCATACAGGTGGGTACAGGTCGCTAGACTTTTGCCCAAACCCCTGGAAAGCACAGTACCCAGACTTGACCCTACAGACTCTGGGTGGCACGCATGAGTCCATCAGGATGTATAGACTGCATTAAACATGTGGCTCTGATGAGCAGGGCTGACCGCAGGGAAGCTGGATGTGTGCACTGGCAGCAGCATGGGCGGGAATTCTCTGCACCATGCCCTCTGTTTGGCTATAAACTTAAAATCACGCACACACACACACACTTAGGAGAGAGGACAGGAGAGAGAGTGTGTATGTGTGTGTTTTAAAGGAAAGCAAAACAATCAAGTTTTAAAGAAAAATATCTTTTGTGACCTGGAAGTAGCCAAACATGTCTAAACCAAGCTCCAAAAGCAACAAGCTAAATAGACGCATTGGACCATGGGATCTCAAAGAGTACTCAGGGGCACATGGACAAGGCTTGTCATTGGAGGAGTCTGAGGCAGGGAACACGTGGTCTTGGAAAGCACCACCAAGACCCGGTATGTGTTTGCAGACACACACGGCCGATCTGCTTAATACAGAAACTTGGGTTTTCTTCCTTTCACCCCAAAAGACTGCAGACATCAAACGCCTCCCAAGAGCTTTCAGCTTCTGGCAGGCATGGCGGCTGAAGGACATCTGTGACAGGAGGGTTTAGGGGTGCGATCCAAGCTGATAGGTGGGTTTTGTCCCATCCAAGGACAACAGGTGGATAGAAGAGAGCCTGAGCAAATGACAGCATGGCCCGTGCCATTCACCTTGTGTAGGTGAGTCACTTCCCAGAATGGACGCATTACCAGAGACTCCAAGCAAACCCTGCTGGGGGTGGTCCCTGCACTCTGACTCCAGCGATTTGCGCTCAGGCTGCCTGGGAAATGTGGAAGTCAGATGCGCAGAGAATAGAAAAAAAGGGGAAAAAATGGAAAGAAAAAGAAGGGGAAAAAAAGGACAGTATGTGACCTCATGCATTGAAGGAGACGGCAAAGCT